GCAAATAAGAATGAAACTAACGACACAATTTCATCTCTTATGATGCAAATTGTAATGAAAGTGGTTTTAGCATACTGCAAACAAGTATGTTTATCAGTTATTTCTGAGTATGTGCATTTTCACATAATACATGATCGAAAAAAGTAGTTAATTGACCTCGTTCTAACTACCTTTGTTCCTCGTCATTCTATCGAAATTACACCTGTTCTGTCCATGAACGGCAAGGCTGTAATGCTGCATGTTGTACAAGAACTTAGACAACAGCGTCCTTCAATGCTAAGTGGTGGTATCTCGATGTTACAGCCTACTTTATGCTTGAATGAGAATGACCATAAAGGTGGGTTGTGCTATTCGCCCTAGGTAAATCTGGCATCACCTATAATATAAGATACATTGAATTTAAACATTCTGGTAGATGATCTTACCCTGAACAGTTTGAAAGTATAAGCAACCATTCCGTATTTATAAAAACATGTACACAAACTGTGTTTGTGTTAAGTCTGTTATAACATATTGTTCATTTGTGCATTACGTTGTGCCCAGTCTCTCTATTTCATTCTCATGAAGTTAATTACTCTGTGATTCAGTACTATTTTGTGATAAATATCTTGTTGAACCAGCTGTTATTACGTAGACCCATGTCAATGATCGAAGGTTAGCTCAGTTTTATATGAAAATGCCATACTTGCAAGGGGAATATCACTATGATAGCTGTGGTGTGGCATATACCCACTGTAGGCCCATGAGCAAAAAAGGAGTTAAGTGTTCATAAGATAGTGCATGGCCTAGAAATTATAATTCCCAGACTATAAATTCATGGATTTATGGCAAACGTCCCATTGCTACAAAACACGTTTTGCACTTTCAGGCTGTGGGTACATTATAAAAGTAATGGTTAAATCTCATTATTTGGTCAGACAAGAGTTAACAGTAGGTACTGTAGAATATCTGCCATCCCTCTAGTCTATCAGTTCAGAATTTGAGATGTATATGTGTAGATAGCCATTTTTTAGGTTTGTAGAAAACTTCTGAACCAGGCAAACATACCCAATGTTGTCTGTATCAGTTTTCTTTATGAATTAAATAGATGACTTTAGAGCATTGGCCAAAACAGAGGATTTGTAGGTAATGGGAGTAAACGAATTCTGTATAAGTTTCGATAATTTTGATGACAGGAATTTCTTTGAAATACAGGGTTATAGGGATAGAGTACTAAAAAACGGTAGGAGTGGATTTATATGTAAAATGTGAGTTACGTCCTGTTCAAGTTGAGGATATCAAGGTTAATAGCAATGAGGTTGAATCTGGTTGGGTTTCTGTTAGAAGTTACAATGGAAGAAGGTTTTTAGTCAGAACGTTTTACAAACCATCAGATGAAACTGATAAAATTAATGAGAAACTCTATAGTGAGATAACGAATTCGACTCTTAACGAGGTTATAATTATAGAATATTTTAATTTCAGGCATATAGCTTGGGAAATCATGAGGGACACCAGTTTTTAGAAATTCTTCAAGATGGTTTTATTCACTAGGAGCAATGATATTTTAGATTTATTGTTAACTTCTAACACAGAAATGATTAACATTATGGAGATTGTGGAACATCTGGGTGCAAATGATCACTGTTCAATTATATTTAATGTTTTGCTGCAAATGAACATAAGAAATTATGAAATTGTGGTTCCAAATTTAAAAAAAAAACAAATTTTGAAGGGATGAGACAAGAATGATCTGCTGTGAATTGGGCAACTAAATTAATGAAGATACTGTTCGAATGTGCAAAAAATATTTAAAAATTTTAATATTTAAGATAAGCATATTCTATATAAACAAAAAATCTAGGAAGTGATTATAATGTCATTGCAAGGTCACTGGTTAGGCTACATTTGGAGTATTATGTTCAATTGTGGGCTCTTTACCTTAGAAAGGATGATTCCTAGGATGGAAATATTGTCATAAGAGGATTGGTTAAGATCTGAAACTGTTTTCTATTTAAAATGAAAAAGTTAGAAGGGATCTGATTGAGGTTTTTTAGACTTTCAAGAGAAATGATTGTATTGATGTAACATCTTTTTTTCATATGTAATGGTAAAAATGGTAAGACTAGAGAACATAGATATAAATTTAGGCAAGATAAGAATTATACTTCAGCTAAAACAGCTTTATTATTCTAACAGACTGAGTTGCTTTCAGATATGGTGGAAGTAGTTAATTTAAGGAAGTTTAAGGAAAGGCTTGATAAATATTTAAACGATAAGGACTGGCTTTGAGTGTATTTTTTAGAGTTTATTATAGTGAGTGGGACAGCCTAGATGACCAACAGGTCCTTTGTTGTTCTTAAATTATATATATACGCATGAAGATTTGGTCAACCTGAAAAGCTGAGACTTGTATTATACATCTCCTTTTATGTCAGTTTAAAGATAAACTTGAATGTTGCTTAAGGAACATTCTATTGTTAGGATGGATTAATAATATACTTGAGTGTTGATTAGAGATCCTCTCTCTCTCTGCGTTGCATTGAAAAGGAACTTAAAGAGATAACTTCTGTACAAATATTAGGCTAAAGATGAATTTTAATTTTGCGTAAAGATCCTTTATTTTTACATTGGGTTTAACTTTATTTGAATATCCCTTAGATAACTTCTATTTCTATGTCAGGTTAAGGATTTAACGCCAATGTTGCTTAGGGAACCTTTGTTTTTATGTCAGGTTGTAGATAAATTTCTTTACCTGGAGAACCTCTGTTTTTAGATCAACTTAATGGGGAACTATCGTGTTTCCAATATTGTCCAGCATCAGTTTTCTTTTGTGTTTTGAGGATCACGGATGTCTTTTATATTCACAAGCAGGTCGCCTCTTAATATTTAGTTTTCGTTTTTTTTTTCATGAACAGACACACACACTCACACACATATTTTTGATAGATGAAATATTTTTTTCAGAGCTATCTGTGCTCTGCCCACCACGGTATTGAAACCCGGATTCTAGCGTTGTAAGTCCGCATACATACCGCTGTGTCACTGGGGGGCGGGAAGCATCTAAAAACCATACATATATTCCAGTGGACAGGAAAAAATATTGATGCTGTCACTGGTTGTCGTGGTTGAAGCTGAGTGGTGACGTCATGTAGTACACATTGGACTTCATACATGTGGGTGTTAGTTCATGTGTAGCTTACATTAGATGTGAATCAAGTTATGTGTACTTAATTACGTACTTGAACATAAAGTAAATAATTTGATTTGAACATTGGTGTATGTGTTTATTGGGTAAGGGTTGTAGTGATTAGCTTAAACCACGCTGACAGACAAATATGTTGTGTTCTGTGTTTACTTGATATTCGTCAAGCATAAATTCGGTTTGTTCCTCTATTGAATTATTCATAAACACTTCGTTTCTAATTGAAAGAGAGACAAACGACTGTTGAGATAACCCACACCGAGTAAGAAGCATAGTGGGCTAAGTTTTATCTATTGGTGTTGGTGAGATATTCATTTGCAGTTGTGACAACTAGAATATTTGTTGAATGTGCGACTTTATCTGTATACAGTAGGCTCTCCCTGAGCGACCATCTCCCCAAGGAGACCATTCCCCCATTGCAGGCAAATATTACAGTCCCGACAATTTGCCTATCATTACAATTATAAAATATTTCCCCAGGTCGACTACTCCGCTATTCCATAATACGACCGCTGAAACCAGTCCTGAGGCCATTGTTAACTTTCAACGTTGCGACCGCCCACTGTCTGTTTTTTTTATGTTGTTGTTTGTTTTACGATAAACATTAACAGGTGTGGTCGTTGTTGATTGCAATCGAGTTCAATATTTGACAACACCCAGCGCGTTGTCACTTTTAAATTACTCTGATGGCGTTTCTAATTAAATTTCATTGTTTTATTGCCTTTTGGATCGTGATTTTTAAAATTCTCGGCATAAAAAGTTTCAAAACACCCGGTAACATGAAGCAAATATTACACTAATCGAGTCACATACAGCTCATGCTACTCGCGAGCTGTGTACCTGGTAGGAAAATTTTATTATTATTATCATTATTTTTATTAATATTACCTAATTTAATCTTATCTAGCCATTTTTTTTTAATTTCTACATTCTAGTCACTTTTATAATAATAAATAAAGAATAGTTAAGAAAACCAAGAAATATAGCATTTACCTGTTTTTTTGTCGTCGACTGTCCTTCTATGTTATCCCTAATACTTTCATCTATGCTACTAGTCCACAATATATTTTTTTCTTTAAGTAAATAATGCAGGGAAGAACATAGAATAATAACATGTCAACATCTGAGAAAGTTGGGTATATGTTAGAATTTTTCTGGCTCTCTAATCATGTAACTTGAGCAGTTAGAAATTCAACTTGGCTCCCCACTATGTTATGGTGGGGAATTTTTTTTTCTCATCAGCAAAATTGTCAATTATCTGTAACGTCAAGTGGTATGAATCATATTGCAATCAATTAGTTGAAATTTAAGCTTTCTATTGGTTATAAATTTAAAAGGAGGCGGCCACAAAAGAAGCCACTTGAAAGAGTGATGTTTTTCACATACTCTTTGAAAACATTACAGTGACAGACACGCTATGTATAAATACCGCATCAGTCAATGAGTAAAACAACAGTTTATTCTGCTTCGATTGCACATGAAGTTTATTGTCAAACACTATTATAAATCTCAGTGACATAGAAATTCTATTCCAAAATGACGCCAAAGGCAAAGCCATCTGACCGTGTTGAGCTATCATTGGCAGATAAAGTCAAAGATATTCAGGCACATAATACCAGATATAAAAGCCAGCGCATATTAGCTGAAGAGTTCAATATTGGCAAAACATAAATCCAGTAAATTTTGAAGCACAAGGCTAAATATATGACAGCATTTGAAGAGAATCAGCCATCTTCACGAAAACGCATTTGTTCTAGATTTGTGAGTGACGACCTAGAAGCATCTTTTAGGTCTTTGTATCAAAAAAGCTCGGGCTATGAACATTCCAGTTTCCGGACCTATATTGCAAGAAAAGACACTTACAATAGCCACTACTCTGGGCCTTTCTGACTTCAAAGCATCGTCTGGATGGCTCACCAAATTCAAAGCCAAACAAAACATTTCGCAATTCACAATCAGTGGTGAACATGGCGATGTCGATGCCATGACAACTGATGAATGGAATGCCAAATTGCCTGCTATTATAGAGGGATATGCACCTAGAGACATCTACAATATGGATGAAACTGAGGTTAGCTATCGTGGTTTAACAGACAAAACATTGTGTGTAAAAGGTGAACAGTGTGCTGGGGGAAGTTATCAAAAGATAGACTTGATAGTGTTGCGTTATGTTGCAATAGTGTTGGGGAATTTGAATGTACTGTTCTAATCAGTAAGAGCACAAAACCTAAGTGCTTCAAAAACTTAAGCACAAAGAGTGACTTATCCGTGGCTTGGTATGCTAACAGGAAGGCGTGGATGACCAACACCATCTTCCAAGACTGGGTTACAGGCTTCAATAAGCACATGAAAGCACAGCATCGCAACATTATCTTGCTGTTATAAGACAATACCACATTGCACAATCAAGTGAATCTTAGCAATGTCAAAATTGTGTTTTTGCCTCCCAATGCAACATCAGTGCTAAACCTCTTGACAAGGGTATCATTCATGCATTCAAAGCCCATTACAAAAAATACCTGGTCCGCTCTGTGTTATCAAACATGGATAAAGGCATTTCACTCACAATCTTGGTGAAAAGTATCATTGTGCTAGATGCTTGTGCTTAAATCAATTCTGCCATGCGTAAAATCAAGATCAGCACAGTACCAGAGTGTTTCATGAAATGTTTCATTGATTTCCCACCAATTGACAAGAGCAAAGACGAAAACTACAACATCCCTTTGGCTCGCTAAAGACCATCTTCCCAATGTCATCACCTACCCAACGAATACGTCGACCAAGACAATGACTTTCCCGCCACTGGAGAGTTCTGTGACAGCTGGGAACAAGAAATTCTTAATGACCTGAATGGTGACTGTCCCACTGAAGACAGCAACCTTGAAGACGACGACAGTGACCAGTCTACAGATGCAGAAGAGTGCACAATCCAGTCAATGCCACAAATGTTGAAGTGCATGCAGACATGAAGAATTTTTCACTAAAAAACTCTGCACTCATGAAAATGATGGACAATCTAAATAATGTAGAATATATTGTTCAAAGTGAAATCGTTAACACTAAGTCAAAAAAGACAATAATCCAAAATCACCAACTTTTTTGTGTAATAAAATATATATGCACACATAATCTGTGACTAAAATTTATAAGATACTTTGAATGATGAAAATAAAGACAATAAAATATAAAATATTCAAGAAATGAATAATTATTAATAGTTTGGATGTAGAATATGCAAAGAAATAGCACACATAACATTGCAATTCAATATTCAAATATTTTACAGTTAATTGATGAATTGGTCGATCCCTAGTAAGAGCACTTCCTTATTAAGACTACTTTTTCAGACCCAATGGTGGTCTTAATAGGGAGAGTTTACTATATAACGAAATTACGACTATTGGTTCGTTCAGAATGAAAGAAATTATAGTGAACATATTGTCTTTCTTTAATTTTCAATTACAATTGAGAGTTCGGTTTATAGAATTGAATTCTTTCACGACTTTTTGGATATCTTAAAATACTTAACCTCAATATTATTTCTGAACAAATGTAGCTGTAATATAGACCTTGCTGATAATTACATACACCTAGTGTTAGGCAAATTTTGTTTTAGTTACATTCTTGAATTCTCGATTTTTTAATGACAGTCTGACATGGTTTTACTTACTTGCTTATATTGAATTTGACATATTTTGAAAAGTAAGTTGGTGATGTGGAACACAAAAAAGATAAAACTATCACTCTTAGGAGCATTAGTTAATGCGTGTAAAGTGGTTAGTTAATTCCAGCAACTGATGTAAAGAACGGGTTTGCAGATTTTTCCACTCTTCTTCATTGTATCTAGTGCTTTGCCTTAGCAACCAGAAACTGGGAGAACTCGTGTATATATGGAATAGCTGTACTTTCTGACTGGCAGTGGTGGTGGTGGGTTTTTCTCCAGAACTTGGCAGAGTTGGGAGTTTGATTATTAACATGGCTGTGTAATGACTAAAATAGTCATGAATCTCATCCTTTCATAACTAGTTTAGAATACCTCTTGATAGGATATATTCTTGTAAGTTTTTTCAGTATTTTCCTGCAGATGTTCAGCATGTAATTTTATATTCTTGTTAGCCGAATGTGAAATGATCGAATACATGTATCAGTCCTTTTATTCAGGTAAAGGTTGCACATGCCAATGGCTAAAAATTCATATAATTTTAGCCTTGTATCTGTCCCTCTAGGGGAGAGGCGAGCCCATCTCATGAGATGATACAACTGTTTGTACAAACTGGTATGAGTTAGTTAGTTTTTTCTCCTGTAGTTGTTATTTAGAATAGTTGGTGACATAAACAACATCGGACTCTGATATACCACACTTTAATATTTTTGTCTGAATTTGTCATTGTAAATTAGAATTCTCATTACCATTATCCTCATATTAACTACATCTACCTGATATAAAGGCAACCAATTCCAAAGGCCAACTACCCTGTTAGAAAAATAAAGCTGTCTTAGTTGAAGGTAGTTCCTATCTTGCCGATATTCATATTTGTGTCTCTTAGTCTTACTATTCTCACCATTAAGTACGAAAAAAGATGATGTATCAACATAATCAGTTCCCTTAGCAATCTTTAAAACCTGAATTTGACACAGTAAATTAGAAGTCTCATTGTTCTTGTCCTGGGCAGATGTATATTAAAATTCCTCTGGTATTTTTGCTCCTCACTCCAGCATCCAGAAGCTGGCCAGTTTAGATATGGTTTTTGAAACATTTGGGAATAAAGTTTTGTTTTAGTTGTTCCCTTTTGTCTGTGTTTCCTTTACTGTCCAGGTTTGAAATTATTCTTTGCAGTACATTTCTGAAATATGTATGACTGTGGATAATTTGAAACTTACATGTTGGATATCAGTGGACCTGTACTATAGACTAGTTACAAAAGTGACATTTTGGTGACAAAGGATATGTCATTGAGGAGTATATTTTGAATGTGCTTTTCTTTCCGTTTGACCTTTCGTGTCTCTCATATTTAATAGCCATAATCACGGAAAGGTACTCTCTGAGACCACGTATAAATTACGGTGGAGAAGGAGAACCCGTGGTTGAAGTTAGGACTTCAATTTTAGAATGTAAAAAGAACTAAGAGATGTACTGTCTTAGGCCTAGAACTTTCTCCATCAATGGTGAAAGCTGTTTCTGAGTTCTCGGGATTTAGAGGTTGAAAAGGCAGCTAGGAGATACCTGAACACCCAGACTACTTTTACTCAATCTCTAGTGGTTATTATCTGTAATCTGAAGCATGATATAGAAGAAAAAGGTCATGACGTAGTAAGAAGTGACATTTGTGTTCACTCAGCAATGAAATCTATGTCATGTTCAAATTAGTAAATTTTTCTGTAAAGATCGAGCAATGACATGATTGTCTATGGCATTTATCTCTATATTCTAAGTGAATTTATTTAGTTATTTATGTTTCACCATGATTATGTTAATGTTATATTTTTTGTGATAAGTTGAAGTTTTAGGGTTATTTCTTGTTTTTTTTTCATTTATTTTTTATCTTTAATGAGTTTTGTAAGTCAATATATTGTTTTGTAATTCTGTACATTTAATTAAGTTATTGTTAATTGTTATTGGTTTATTGTAAGTGGCTATTGTTCGGGACGAACAATACTAAGGAGGGGCAGTGTTGCGTCACGAGGTCACGTGACTCGTTCTCTCGAACCTTCGGGAATTGTCGGGAGATTACTAGATATAGGGTAGTCTGGTATATATATAAGAGGGTGACAATAATGTGTGTGTAGGTAATGAGTAATTGAACTGCGATCAGAGAGGGACGTATTGTTGAAGTTAACGTTCGTTCGTTATAGTGTTTGTTATAGCGCGACTGTTGAAGTTGAGTGTATCGTAAAGTTATATTCGGAAAGAATAAACCAGTTTTAGTAAGTAAGGACTTGTGTCGCTAAAGTTTCGTCGGAACGAATTTACGGGAAATCAATTAAGAAACGGAGACGTTCACAAAATTACAATTCAACAAAGTATCTTAATTTTACGGGACGTATCTTCTTCCGTACTGGTCTCCGTCTCGTTGGCTTCTGCTTCATGTGGGGTTCATCTGCTTCATCAGTAAATGTCCTGTCATCGGTAACAGTCACATCAGTGGTAGTAACTTCATCAAGAGCTTCGTCGTTTCCCTTCTCAAAACTGAGTAGAGTTTCTTCTTCGACGTTGGCTTTTTCAGGTGACACCTCTTCAGCAGCGTCACTTGTTCTGTTGTCCACTTCATCCCAACTGAAATGTCCTGGACCGTGATAATGCCAAAGCCTGTTGGCATGCACCACTTTTGGTTTACCTCCCCGACCACATTTTACTCGGAAAGTCACGTCTGAGAGACGATCCACTATGTCATATGGGCCTTCCCATGGAGAAGACAACTTAGGAGACTTCCCTTTGGTCTTCCTGGGATTATACAACCATACCTTGTCTCCGGGTACAAAGCTGACTTCAGTAGATCTCTTATCATCGAATCAGCAGACGTTTTCAAGTTTGAATGCACTTGATGGTGAATATC